GGCCCCGGGCCCAGCGGCGCCTGGACTGAGCCCGTCCAGCCCCTTCCCTTCACCGCGCTCACCGCCATGACAACATGCGGCCTTCCCCAGGCTCAGGACCCTGTGACGCGGGAGGGGTCACCAGAAGTCAGTCTGACGCCCCTGCAGGGACCGTGCACTGAAAAGGGGTGTTTTCTAAGTAAGTGAAGGATCTGGGAGGCGCCCATCTTGGATGAGGGTGAATCCAATGACAGGTGTCTTTACAAGACACAAAAGAGGGGCGACAGAGACATAGAGGAGAAGCCCCGTGAAGACAGAGGCACAGACCTGAGGGATGCAGCCACAGGCCCAGGGACGCCTGGAGCCCCGGAGGCTGGAAGAGGCAGGAAGGGCCCTCCCCTGGAGCCTCTGGAGGGAGCACGACCCTCCCCTCCCTGGGTCTCAGTGGCCCTGCCCTGCCTAGATCTCAGTGGCCCTCCCCTGCCTGGGTCTCAGTGGCCCTGCCCCGCCTGGGTCTCAGTGGCCCTGCCCCGCCTGGATCTCAGCAGCCCTGTCTTGCCTGGATCTCAGAGGCCCTGCCCTGCCTGGATCTCAGTGGCCCTGCCCCTCCTGGATCTCAGTGGCCCTTCCATGCCTGGGTCTCAGTGGCCCTGCCCTGCCTGGATCTCAGCAGCCCTGTCTTGCCTGGATCTCAGAGGCCCTGCCCTGCCTGGATCTCAGTGGCCCTGCCCCTCCTGGATCTCAGTGGCCCTTCCCCGCCTGGATCTCCGTGGTCCTGTCCCTCCTGGATCTCAGCATCTCGGACCTGCCTGGATCTCAGCAGCCCTCTCCCCACTCCTGCATCTCAGTGGTCCCGCCTGGATCTTAGACTTCATCTCCACAAGATCCCAGGGCCGGGGGGCAGAGAGTGGCCGGGGAAGGCCAGGGTGGGGACAGGGGAGCAGAGCGGTCCCAGGAAAGAGGGAGCGCCTCCGTCGGCAGAAGGGGACATGTGGAGGGCTCCGGGGGCAGGGCGGGTTCGGCAGGTCGTCCCCCTGCGACAATGCACAGCTCCTGGGGGCTCTGTGACGAGGAGGGTGTGGCCACAACCAGGAAAGTGACTCACAACCACCTGCGGGGTGGCTCCCCTCCTGGAGATGAGTTTTCCGCCCGCTTCTCTCTTTCCTCCGGCACCCTCCCCCCTGCGCACGTGTCCCCTGTCACCCGGGAGAAAACCGGAGGGTCCGAGGACCGGGCACCGAGGCTGGGAGCAGCGGCCCCTCCAGAACACGGCCACATGCCAGACCCTTTCGTGGCCTGGACCTTCCCGCTGGAGCCCCGGCCACTGACCCCGGCTGCTGGCTCACCTGTCCTGTCCCCCAGGCTGTCACGTGCCCAGACAACCAGATTTCCGAGACCGGCCCCTCCACGCCCGGCCGGCGGGGGGGGGGGGGGGGGGGGGGGGTCTCCAGTGGGAGGGCTTTTGTCCTGAGGGTGACGGGAGGGGGGGCACCCCAACCAGGACAGGGTGTGCACGTCTCGATGGTAGAGGAAAAGGGGACAGAAACGGGGAAGAGAAAGTGGGGAGACGGTGGGTGAGGCAGGAGGCACAGCTGGCACTGGAGAGACCCAGATAGACCTTCTCCGCCCGCCTGGTCCCCTTGTGCACACGGACCCTGAAGCTCCAGCCCCAGAAGAGACCTTCTCCGTGAGCCCAGCCGGGTCCCCTGTCTGTGCACATGGACCCTGAAACTCCAGCCCCCAAATAGACCTTCTCCATGAGCCCAGCCGGATCCCCCTGTGCACACGGCCCTGCACACCTTGGCCCCAGAACACACCTTCTGCATGAGCCCAGCCGGGTCCCCTGTGCACATGGACCCTGAAACTCCAGCCCCAGAATAGACCTTCTCTGTGAGCCCAGCCTGGTCCCCTGTGCACACGGCCCCTGAAACTCCAGCCCCCAAGTAGACCTTCTCCATGAGCCCAGCCGGATCCCCCTGTGCACACGGCCCTGCACACCTTGACCCCAGAACACACCTTCTGCATGAGCCCAGCCGGGTCCCCTGTGCACACGGCCCCTGAAACTGCAGCCCCCAAACAGACCTTCTCCGTGAGCCCAGCCTGGCCCCCTGTACTGTTTACTTAAGACGAACATATCCGACGTATATCTATACTTTTGCTGCGATTACTCAGGTGACCAGCCTTTGTCTTTCCGTCTGGTGGTGCCATAACCAGGAATGCGTTAGTCCTTCGGATTCAGGTGGGCTGAGCGGTGAACTGGGGGCCTGCATCTGGACCATCCTGCGTGCACCTGTTCCGTGCCGGGGGCGGAGGGGAGGTCCCCCCGGGGTGGCCCCAGGCCCTGTTGGCACGGACCCAGCCTCAGAAGCGACAGTGGCCCCTGGTACGGAGGAGCATTTCTGGAGCCTGCTTCTTGGGGGCCCCGGAGAATTCTCTCCATTCTGCCCTGCCGGTTCCTTGCCTCCAAAGTGAGAAGGCCCGATTCTGCGGGGGCGGAGCTCTGGTCTGAGCAGGACCAGCGGGAAGCCGGGTCCAGGATTCGAGGGGCCACCGTGAGGGTCTCTTAGGAATGGAGGACTCAGCCCCCCCCCCCCGTCGGACTCATGACTGCCCCAGCCTTGCCCGGGATGCGGGGTGACGGGTGCAGCTCATGGAGAAGCAGGAGGGGGGCTGCGGGTCCTGGTCCCTGGGCTCCTGCCCGGGGTCCCCGAGCCTCAGCAGAGGTGGGGGCCAGCGTGCAGCTGTCCTTCCCGTGCTTGGCACAGGGTGTGGGGAACAACCCACTCCTCCCAGAGCCCAGGGCAAGAGCACAGGTGACGTGACGTGTGTCCCAGGTACCTGAGCTCAGTGCTGAGGTCGCCCTGCGTCCCTGGGGGCCTTTGGGGTCTGGCGAGAGGCTGGCCTCGCGCTCCCATCACATGGGCCCGATGGCACGACCCCAACCCCTGTCGGTCGGATTCCCCCCCAGATGAGGGGATTCCCTGCTGAACTTTCCCGGCTGAAAATACAGCCGCCCAACGCTCGCCCCCTGACCCCGAAGGGGAGGGCGCTCCCGGCTCGAACACGTCAGCCGGCTGCCTGGGGACGACCTTGCCCCCGTCCCCAAGGCTGGCGCCCGGTCTGTGCAGAAACTGGACCGCGGACGCATTCTCCCGGAGACGCCTCGGGATGCTGCTTCCGGGGAAGCGGGCGTTCCCTCTGGGCCAGCACGCGGGGTCGTGGACGCCCACAGCCTTTGCGACGTGGGTCCCTCCCGGGGGTTGAATGCTGCTGCCCGAAATTTATGTCCCTTGGAGCATGTGAAGGGAACCTTACTTGGACAGGGTCTTTGTAGGTGTGAATCAGTGAAGGATCTGAGATGAGCCCATCCTGGGTCGGGCGGCCCAGATTGCAATGACTAGGGTCCTTTTCAGAGACAGGAGGGGACACACAGACACAGAGGAGAAGCCACGTGAAGACAGATGCATACACGGGAGGGACGCGGCCACGAGCCCAGGGGCGCCTGGAGCCCCAGAAGCTGGAAGAGGCAGGAAGGACCCTCCCCTGGAACCTCTGGAGGGAGCACAGCCCTGCCCTGCTTGGATCTCAGTACTCCTGCCCCTCCTGGATCTCAGTGGCCCTGCCCCACCTGGATCTCAGCGGCCCTGCCCTGCCTGGATCTCAGTGGCCCTGCCCGTCCTGGATGTCAGTGGCCCTGCGCTGCCTGGATCTCAGGGGTCCTGCCCTGCCTGGATCTCAGTGGCCCTGCCCGTCCTGGATCTCAGGGGTCCTGCCCCTCCTGCATCTCCGAGGCCCTGCCCTGCCTCGACCTCTGTGACCCTGTCCCCCGTGGATCTGAGATGTCTGGTGTGCACAGCTGGGGGGAGGATGAACCTGTGGTTTGAGGCCCCCAGTGTGGTCGTTTGTCCCGGCCACCGCAGGGTGCCCCCAAAATAACAACAGTCTTTCTTATCGTCCCTCCGACGGTGATCAGTCACCCCTCCCCCACTATGACCCGCGATGGCAGCCCCCGGCCTCAGCAAGCAGGGCCTGGCCGTCGCGTGGGGCCCCAACCCACGGAGGCACGCAGGTGACCGTCCCTTCGGCCAGCTGCTGGCCAGGGGCCCAAGCTAGGGCTGGATTCCCAGGCTCCGGCTCTTCGCCCAAGCCGTGTCCGTACAGCGGAGTCTCCCCCGTAAGAGGGTCTCCGTCCGCAGAGCGAGAACACGCGTTCCCAGCAGGGAGCTCTGTCTTGGGCTCCGAGGTCCCCTCCCCGCGGTCCTTGCGGGGTCCGTCCCGCAACCTCGCGGCCGTGGGTGCTTATCGGCCACGACCCCTTGACCGGGCGGCTCCTGGGCGGTGCCGGACGGGGTCTGGGGGCCGCGGTGCCAGCTGCCCGCGGAGATAATGGGCGCGCACTTCCTGTGCGCGGAGCCCAAGTTCTCTGTCTCTGGGGCGTTGGGAAACCTTTCGAAAGAGGCCCACGCTTGGCTTCCGTGCATCTTACCCGGGCCCGATCAAACCAGGGACGTTTTTCAAGAAAACCCTTGCTTATCGGGCCCGCGGCTCTTGTGAAACACGGAGCTGACGAGTCTGTGGCCTCGGTCTGCGTGGGTGCGGCCGGGACCCTGCTCACCTCGCCCTGAGCCCGGAGCCCGGGGCTGACGCGTGTGGGCGCACGTCCGTCGTCCGGAGACCCTGGGGGCCTGGCGTGGGCGACCCCGGGCCCCGCTGCTGGCGCGCATCCACGGCCCCCGATGACGCCCCCGCACCTTCGCCGCGCACCGCGTGTGGACGGCGGGCCGAGCGCGTCTCGAAGGACGCGGGCTCGCGTGCGCAACCCCGGTTCACCCGCACGAGGACACGCGTTCAGGCCGGCACTTTGCAAAACCCGAGAGGCCGGGAGGCTCGTTGGCCATTGGACGCTCGGCGTTTCCCACCTGCTATATTCTCTTGTTCTTACGTTTTGTCTTGTCATCTCATTCCATTCTTTGCCTGCATGATTTTATTTCATCCTGTTACGTTTTCTCTTGTCATGTCCCTTCTCTTATGTTATTTTATTTATCTAACGTTTTACTAACACCACACGGGGCCAGAAGTGATCGCAGGCGGGACGCACCATCTCCCCTGGTCCCCGTGCCCGTCAGCACGTTGCCTCCAGCGTGACCACGTCCTCGGGGTCCTGGGGGCCCGGCGGGGGGTGGCCCTCGTCCCAGGCGACCTGAGAGAGAGAGAGAGAGAGAGAGAGAAGGCAAGGGTCGACACCCCCGAACCCTCCCACGCCCCGAGGCCGGCAGGTGCAAACAGCGGACAAGCTCTCCTTTGGGGGTTATGAGAATGCTCTGGAACCAGACGCAGCTGGTGGGGGGCACAACGCCCCTGCCTTGGGCCTTTGGAATAGGTGACAGGGGCGGTGGGGGGGGGGGCGTGTGACTTAGGTTTCCACAAACCTGTCATAAATGGAAATAATGCTTCACTGTGACGCTCACCCCAGCGGACACCCAGGAAGCCCTCCCTTTTGCCCGGAGACACCACTGGAGGCCCCCCAAAGTCCCCCCCTTCCTGCCCCGGGCGCCCCTCGGGGACCCCGCAGGCTGCTGTGCCCCCGGCTGCCACCAGGTGACACAGCCCCCTGTGAGATCAGGCTCCGTCCAGCCTGGACGCTGGGGGCCGCCGGGGGCCTCAGGGAGCCCCCCCCCCCATTTAAGGGACAGGGGGTGACCCTGCCCTGGAGCCTCTGGAGGGAGCACGCTGGAAACCTGAGCGCACTGCAAGCCCCATAGCCTCGCCCCAAGTCTCTCCGTGGACCCTAAGCACCCCGCGAGGGCAGCCTGGGTCGTGGAAGCCGAGGGGTGGGGCGCCCTGACAGGGCGTTTTGTGGGTGTCCAACCGCCTCCTCGGGGGGGCGCTTGGGCTGACGCATGAGGACGCGAAGGCGGCTGAATCTGGAAGTAGGGTCTTTGCTCCTGTGATGGGAGGTGTGGTAATGGGGGGGGCGGTTGCCGGCGCCCACAAGCTCCCCGCGAGCAGGGGAACCACCAGCACCGAAGGACCAGCCCCGGATTGGCGGCAGGGAAACGGGCCACACGCCCGCCCCCGGGGACTGGGGTGGTGGACGGCCGTGTGTCTCCAATGCCCAGCATTTCGGCTTTCGTGGTGAGCGCCCACGCGCACGGCCTCGGGTGCTGGAGGGTCGTGGCCCCTCCGCTAACCCCCCGCCCACCGACAGCGCACCCCCGGACTGCCCCCACCGCCAGAGACACCCCCGCCCCCACTCCCGGGACCTCACACGGCGCTGGCAGCCGGGAGGGGACGCGCCCACCTCCTGGGTGCAGAGGGAGGGGTCACTCACCCCCGGTGTGGGCATGAGGGCCCTGGCGATTTCCTTCTTCACCTGCGGGATGGGAGGGAACATCCTGCGCCTCACGGAGAACCTGGCGGGGAGACGCACACCGTGAAGGTACCCACGGCCTCTGCGCGTCTCTTCCTGGAGAAACGCAGCGCCCACGGACACCCGCCAGGCCTGGTGCGCACCTGCCGGACCAGCGAAGACGCGCGCAGGACTCCTCAGATCCTCTCCAAGTGCCCCCCCCCACCCCAGGTCTTTTAAAGCACCACAAAGTATATAAGGACCCCCGGACTCTCCAGGTCCCCAAGACGCCCCAGGGCTTTGATTTTGGTCCTTGAGTATCAGAGGGTCCTGGGGAGCACGCGGGGGAGGCAGAAGGACCCGCCCCCATCGACCCGCCCATAGCCCCGGGGTCTCCTGGAGACTCCCCTGCTCCTGAGCTTGTCCAGAGCTGCGCACGCGTCATTACCCGCCTACTGCCCCCCCCCCCCCCAGGCTCACTGCCCCTCCCCGCCGCGAGAGGACCGTCCTAATTGAGGCCCCAGGAAGGCTTCCCTAACCGCGGACCCTGTGAGCAAGTCCCCAGTCGTGGACACGGGGACGGGGCGTCCCGAATGGTGCTGTGTCCCCTTGGCGTCCTCAGAGCGCAGCGTCTGGACCCGGAGGACTCTGGCTGGGACCCCCTGGAAGCGCGCAGTCCAGCGGTACGTGGGACGGGAGGGTCCTTCCGACATCCCAGTGTGGCTGTGGGGCTGCTGACAGCGGCGGAGACAGCAGGAGACCCCCGCCCCTCCCCAGCCTTAAGCAACTTCGACTCCACTCCAGTGTCTGGATTCGCGGACTCTGGATTCGCGGTCCCTGGCCATTCCCCAGGCTCCCGGGCCAGCGCCGCGTGGCCTTCTGCAAAGTCCGGGGTGGGGGTGGGGGGGCGCTTACCGTTTGCAGAAGAACATGAGGACGAGCGCGGACAAAGCCGCGGTCCCCACCACGGGCCCCACCAGGGCGCCGCTGAAATCCTGCTCCGGGAGGCCTGGCGGGGAAGAGAAGCAGGTGGTCAGCTTTGCACACACCAGGTGCTTCCGGGGAGGGGTGGGGGTGGGGGGCTGCCAGCCTGCAGAGCGCATGGGCATCCAGCTGGTGCATACTTTGGGCTCACGCCCCCAGAACAGTCCTGTGGGACCCCTGGAGGGGGCCATATACGCAGACCCTGGCCTCGTGGGGTTCCCCGCGTCCCTCTGGGCAGGTTGGTTCGCTCAGGTGGCTGAGTCTAGGGGGACGGGCCCCTAGGGGGCCCCCAGGGACCTGGGAGAGGGCGCTGCAAGGTGTCCGGACCCCCAAAGAGGCCCACGTGGTGCCCCGGAGACCCGTGAACGGGACCTGATGGGAAGAGGGTCACAGGTGAGAGGGCAGTGACGGCTCGAGATGCGCTCAGGGGGGCCTGGGTCCCACGGCAGCGGTGCCGAGACGAGACGGCAGAGGACGCCAAGCCGGGGCCCCAAGGAAGGGTCCCTGTGCGGCGCGGGGGGCCTCGGCCACTCACCGAACCGCTGCGTGGGGCTCCATTCGCTCCACAGGCGGTTGTACATGTAACGCACCCTCACCCGGAAGGCGCTCTTGGCTCTGGTGGCGGAACTGGGCATCAGGTACACGTTGGGGTCCTGTCCCCTCTGGAAAACCTTGGAGACGGGAGGGGACTGTGCGTGAGGGGCGTTGCTGAAGGGGCGTCGGGGAGCAGGCCGGGGGCCGGGGGAGGGGGGTCCCCTGGGCTCTGAGCTCCGGGGTCCGTGCAGGGACACCCGTGCGTCCGGGCGCAACTCCGCGCGTCCGTCTGGCTCCGCCAAAGCCGGGGAGGTAAGGCCCCGCCTCCCCCGCTGGGGAGGTTGACCCCGCTTCACGTCTGGCGCCCACAGCTCTCTGAGCTGCACCCACACCTCGGGCAGAGACCTCGCGCCCTGGGGACGCGGCCCGCGGTGATTCCGCACAGACCCCGTGGAGCCCCGTCGGCCCGTTCGCTTTCTGGCGGCACAGCCGGGCTCTGAATCGGAGCCGCTGGCCGGGAGGCGTCCGCTGTCCCCACCTGCCTTTCCCTGGCGCCACGGGGACCGAGAGTGCACAACCCTGAGCCCCAGGGCACCATCTGGACGGTCCTCTGCGCGGGGAACGCGCTTGATCTCCCGTGCACGCGGCTGAAACACCCCGCTGTTCTTTCTGAGCTCTGAAGGAGCCCTGCTACCGGCCCCCCACCCGCAGGGCCCTGGGGCAGGAACGGGGGGCGGGGCAGACGAGGACCCAGGAGCTGCCGGGCCTGCTCCTGCAGACGGACCCTGAGGGGGGCAGCAGGGATCCCCCCGCCCCCAAGGGGAGCCCCCCAGGCAGCGGGAGCCACACACACCGCCTGGCCAATGCCTGTGGTGCCCTGGATCTCAGCTGGCGTCTGAGCGGCGAAGGGTGCCAGACTGGACACCTGGCCCCCGAGGCTGGACCCCAGGGGCGCCTTGAGACTGCACGTGACCCTCAGCCTGGTCCCGGGCACTGCAAGTGTGGTCCGTGGGGCAGCATCTGGCCAGCGGGGTGGGTGTCACCCGGGAGCAGGTGAGGCCCACGGGAACCCAGGTGATGGATGAGAGAGCATCTGCGAGATGGGGGTCGCTGCTGCCCTTGAGAGGATGGGGGAGGCGGTGCTCACGTCTGTTCCAGCATCTGACGGCAACACTGACCAATGACCACACACCCTGTGGCTTAAGACCACAGACGGCATCCTTCCCCAGCTCTGGAGACCAGGAGTCTAACATCCAGCAGGG